TTTTTTTTTTTTTTTTTTTTTTTTGAGGCAGGGTCTCACTATGTAGTTGAGAGTGACCTGGAACTCACTATGCAGCCCAGGCTGGTCTCAAACTCGCGGCAGTTCTGCCTCAGCCTCCCAAGTGCTGGGATTACAGGCGTGTGCCACCTCGTCTGGCTTTTCTTATATAGATGTTTCTTATAGTAGGGCATTGCCCCTTTCCTTGTCATATTATAGATATCTTTGTAATTTTTCATTTAACTTTATCATGATTTGGAGTTATAAAAGGTTGTGGTTTTTTGTTTTGTCTTGTTTTGAAGAGAGGGTCTCCCTATGTAATTCAGGTTGGAGGGCCAGCGATTCAGCTCAGTGGCTCTGCCACCTTCCTCATAATTCAAGTTGGCCTTGAACTCACTATGTAGCGCAGGCTGGTCTCAGACTTGTGATCCTCCTGCCTCAGCCTCCTGAGTGCTGGAATTACAGGTGTGTATCGCCACACCTGGAAAATTTTTTAATCGAATTTCTTCTGACCTCCAACCCCAGCCTTAACCCCTCCTACTAATACCATGCAAGTCCAGAACTTTCTCTGTAGAATTACATATGCTTTAGTCTTTATGATATATTGTTTTGCTCTTCTGCTTAGAGAGGCCTTTCTTTTCCTTTGATCACCTAAATATTCACCAGTATTTTCCTTATTTCTAATTCTTGAGGCCAGTTGGAGTATATTGCAATACAAAATAACAATTTTTCTACACTGACTTAGAATTTAGCATGTATAAAGATATATAATGGTTAAAAGAAAACATATAATGGTTATACCTAGATTTTCTAATGTATTCATCTATTCAATACCATACAGTTGTTGCAAGTTTAAAGACTATTTTGGTGTACTTAGTGATGCCCATGCTGCCACCTCATGCTGTACACGCATGTTTTTTCCCCATTCCATCCTTGAAATTGTTAAAGAGCAAACACTCTTCGCCTTCTCTCTAAAATAAAGCCAGCCAGGCATGGTGGCGCACACCTGTGATCCTAGCACTAGGTGGATCGGTGTGAGTTCGAGGCCAGCCTGGGGTACACAGCCTGCATCTCACTCACTGATATAAAGCCAGTTTACTCCTTCAAGTTTCCGTACGAAATACCTTTATTTTGTAGTTACCCAGTTCAGAATCACCATCCCCAGCTCTGTCCACACGTTCTCCCCCACTTTCACAACCTGGAGTTCTCAGGGTGAGAAATAAATACCCAACCACAGAAGACAAAAACAGGGCTCCCCAAGGCTCCCGCTCCTGGCCCTGCTGAGCAGGTCCTCTTTCACTTCACCTGCATCACTCCTGATTGAAGTTACTGCTGTCCTTGGGGGTAGTGGAGTAACGTACTCCGGGGGGTGTGGGTGGGTGTGGGTGTGGACACGGGCAGGCGCACTGGGGCTAAGACCAGGGCCCTGAGCGCTACCACTGGGTGACTCCGTCACTCCATTCCCACTGATAGCTTTACTCTTAATTCTTAAGGAAAAAAATTTGAGTGACAGGGTTTAAACTGCAGTAGAGTGAATCGGTGGGGTAGTGAAGGCCACAGAGAAAATTATTTCTTTTCAAAAAATTTTTTAAGACAGGGTCTTGGTATATAGCTCAGGCTGACCTTGAACTCACTGTGTAGCGCAGCCTGGCCTCGAACTCACAGCGATCCTCCTGCCTCAGCCTCCTGAGTGCTAGGATTTCAGGTGTGCATTAACATGCCTGGTTTAAGCTTCATTTTGAAATAACTTTAGACTTATAAGAAGTTGCAGAAATAACACAGTGCATCGACACGTACCTTTCATCCAGTGCCACTGGGTGCTGATGCTTCACATAGCCGCAGTGTAGTCAACACTTGACCTTAGCCAAAAGGCTGAGAAGCGATAGCCGCAGTGCAATCAAAAGCAAGGAGTCAGTGCCGCCATAGAGCACTAACTGCTGCTTTACCTGGACCCCTGCGCTCTCTAGTTTTCCAGAGTTCATCTGATGAATACACAGTGCTGGAACCTACTGCTTTTCATCTGTCCTGTTTACAGTCAGGTCCAGCCATCACAGATATATGTCAATCAAAAATGTTTAGGAGGGCTGGGGATTTAGCTCAGTGTCTCAGCGCAAAGTCCTGATTTGGATCACGGTGCCAAAAAAAATCTTAAGGAGCTGGGCGTGGCGGTGCACACCTGTAATGCCAGCACTCAGGAGGCTGAGGCAGGAGGATTGCCCAAATTCTAGGCCAGACTGGGTTACATAGTAAGACCCTGTCTCAAAACAAACAAAAACAAATAAATGCTTTTAACCAGAATGCTTAGTGTTGAAATTCTTTCACACTGAAGATAAATATGTAGTGTCAGAGCACAGTCATTGATAATAAAACCAGCTAGACTGATATGTATAAATGAGTGAATAAATGGGCAATGAGACAAGGATGAACGCAGGGAACACCCCCCAGGGGCCAGATGGGAAGTGACAACGATGGTGAATAACAGCTAGTGGTCGGCTTCCTGAGGCCCAGGCCCTGTGCCAAGCGCTGGGCGGAAGCGCGGGCCTCGGGTCCTCTAACCACACAGGTCCCGCCTGCCTCAGGGCGGCAAAGCCCCGCTTCCCCTCTGCCATCAGCCTCAGAGCTTTTCTGTGGAGCTCTGAGAACCCAAGGTGAGGGTGCAGGGACAACGCGGGTCGCATCTGCAACTTCCCTGGGCCTCTGTGCCTTCCTGTGCTGGCCCTGTCTCCTGGGTCCTACATGGCATCTTAGCTGTGTCTTGTCATTCTTGTCGCTCTCGAAGCCTGCTTCACATCCTTCTCTGTGTCCCCGTCTCTCTCCTCTGTGCCCACTGTGCCTCCCTCACACTCCTAGACTCCCCTGCTTCCGGGGCGTCTCCTTCCTCCCATTGGCCCGTGTGGCGCTGGGATGTACAGTGGGTCTGTTTATTAGTGAGGCCGCAGCGTGCTGACGCACACCTGTAATGCCAGCTGTCCAGAGGCAGAGGCAGGAGGATCTCGGCAAGTCAGGGTCTCCCTAAATTGCGAAATTGCCCTGCCAAGGTTCAGACTTCCGTCAGCCCCCGGTCTGCAGGGATTACAGCTGTATGCCACCATGCCTGCCTTAAATACTTTAAGCTCTTTTATCCTACTTCCTGTAGTCACCTCTCAAGGAAATCCAGCACCCTATTCATCGCATTCCAGCCCCCAAGCATCCCATGGACACACACGCACCCACGAGTGGAGGCTTCCGGTGCGCCCAGGTCTCCTGTCTTGAATATTTATGGGATATTTACTTCCTGTTTACCTTTCCAAGGCTGTACACTTCGCAGGCTGTGGGTTTTGCTGTGAAGCTTACTAATTTGCTCCACAGTTTATCTGGAGATGATTTTACGTTCATCTGTCAGAACGCGCTTTTATTCTGCCAGGTTCCAAACAAGAAAATGCCACTACCGGAAGCAGCCGGAGGCTCCCCGCAGTAGTACAGGGCTCCTCTGAGCCCATCCGCCCGGCAAAACACCATGGAGCTTTCAATGAGCAGAGAGACCGGGCTGACCCAGAGGGTGGTGTTTATAAATAGTACCCTAGCCCCTCCTTTAGAGCTTCTCCACCTAATCCTCCTCTCTCAAGACTGGAGATGGCCTGACCTTTGAGTCTTACAACACTGCCTCCTTTTCTCTGAAAAATCTGGTGAGCAAAAAGCTGTTAAAGCAATATGTTTTAGCTGGGCCTGGTAGGGCACACCTGTAGTCACACAGGAGGCTGAGGCAGGAAGATCTCCAGGTTTTTTTTTTAACTAGAGAAACATTTCATGTAAGATATACAAATATATAAAAATGTACAAGATTGGCTTACAACGGCTGTCCAGAGTCAGGTGTGGATGTGTGCAAAAGGTCCATCTGCACACTGGAGACCCAAAAGATCCGGCCAGAGGGCTGGAGCTCACTTAGTGTCCTGTGCAAGTTCCTATTAGGAGGCCAAAGGGGCTGTGCTGGAGGCTGGTTTCTGTACTGGAAGCCAGAAGACAAGTTCGCAGGTGAAGGTGGAACTCCTCCAAAGAGGAGCTCTAGTTTGAGGCTAGTCTGGGCTACACAGGAAAATTCGGTCTCAAGAAAACAGAAACGGGCAGGTGTGGTGGCACACTCCTGTAATCCCCGCACTTAGGAGGCTGAGGCAGGAGGAAACAAAAGTTGACCCCAGTGGACAGACTAGAAACCGCTTCCTGGCCTCTCTTTCCTTAATCCCTCTGGTCAGCAACTGGATGAACCTTCGGGACGCTGAGACAGGGAAGATTCTCTGGCAAGGAACGGAAGACCTGTCCGTCCCTGGTGTGGAGCATGAAGGTACCGTCCAAGTCCTGGGCCCTGGGGCTGAGTTGGGACCACAAAGGGGCGGGTGGCCTCCAGTGCCAGGCACAAATCCACCACTGCTGCTGACGTGGACAGGCCCTCACATTTCTTTCTCCTAGGTAAAAGCCAGGTAAAGAGAGCAGGGAGGGTGCAGGAGGCCTGTCCGGGTGACTCAGGGTCACTTCAAATGTCATCCTGGAGCAAGGCTCGGCCGGACCGCACCAGCATCACATGGTTCCATTTCTTTTTCTCTCATCAGCCCGCGTTCCCAAGAAAATCCTCAAGTGCAAAGCGGTGTCTCGAGAGCTGAACTTCTCCTCGGCGGAGCAAATGGAAAAGTTCCGCCTGGAGCAAAAGGTTTACTTCAAAGGCCAGTGCCTAGAAGGTATCCACTGCCCGCCCACCAGGAGAGCGGTTGCTTCACCGCTCAGCTTGCTGCAGAGCCTGAGGACCCCGTGAGACAAAGCAGAGCAAGGCCTCGGGAGCCGGGCAAGCGTGGCCCATGTGGCACCCACACAGCACCTTGGCCAGGGCCTGAGACAGGAGCCACGTGCAGCATCATTGGGCACGGTGGCCAGCAGGGCCGAGAGTCCAGGGGAGGGGCCTGTCCGAAGTCCGCGGCGCAGCCCCTTAGGCCCTGGAGCGGGAGGAGGAGAGGTGTGGCAGCTTGGGAAGCCCAGCAGGCCTTTAGGGTTCTGAGCAGGATGAGGACCCCTCTCCGGAGGGGACAGAGGACCCTTAAACTTTAGGCAGGGTGTCTGCTCACCCAACTTCTCCTTTCTCCCTCAGAGTGGTTCTTCGAGTTTGGCTTTGTGATCCCCAACTCCACAAACACCTGGCAGTCCTTGATAGAGGCTGCCCCCGAGTCGCAGATGATGCCCGCCAGCGTCCTCACGTGAGTGCAGCGCAGCGCTGGGTAGGGCCTGCGGGCACGGAGCCTCCTCCCTGAGAAAGGCCAGCATGGCAGGGCAGAAAGGATCAGAGGAGACCACAGTCCCTGATGCCCCAGCCTGCCTGCCACCCTGACAGTGACAGCCCCCGCAGCCTGAGGCCCTCACCTCACAGAGCCCCACCAGACCCGGCAGGGGACTGGCTCCTTCCTGCCTGCCATCCCCTGGCATCCCCAGGCTGTGTCACCACAGCACCACCTGCCAGTCCTAATGCTGTCCTAGAGGAAGAGGTTTGGTTACATGTCTTCAGAGACTCACTTACAATTTAATAGTTATACTTTCCGTTGGGCCTGGTGGCGCATCCCTGTAATCCCCCAGCACTCGGGAGGCTGAGGCAGGAGGATCTCTGTGAGGTTGAGACCAGCCTGGGCTACATAGTGAGCTCCAGGTCAGTCTCAAGTACATAGTGAGACCCTGTCTCAAAAAAAAAAAAAGTTATACTTCCTTCTCAGAGAAAAGTTGATTTGTTCTTTGTCCAAAAACACTGTCAGTAACTGCCCACCTACCATTTTATCTTGGGAAAAGACATTAGTGTTTCAAATATTTAGGAGGCCTAAGAGGGTAGCTCACTGCTGGAGCATGCCTGGCATGAGACCCTGGGTTCCCTTACACTGCAAAAGCAGTTATTCTCTGGGTGTGGTGGTGCACACCTACACTCCCAGCATTCAGCATTCAGGAGGCTGAGGCAGGAGAATCGCCAAGTCTAGCAAGACCTTGGGCTACACACAAGACCCTATCTCAAAAACAACAACAATAAAAAGTTTTAATAACCCTAAGCACCTTCTAGAGAACTAGCCCCCTCAAAAAAGAACTAGTCCCACAGATAATTGAGAAAATAAGAGTGAAGGCTGCGGGGTGGCATAGTTGAGACTGACCTGGAACTCACTATGTAGCCCAGGCTGGTCTCGAATTTACAGTGATCCTCCTGCCTCAGCCTCCCCAGTGCTGAAATTACAGGCGTGCGCCACCACACCCGGCCTATTTACTTTTTTTTAAACAAGTTTTTTCTTCAATAGATTTTTCATTATAGGGCCAGGGATTTAGCTCAGTGGAGCTTCATCTGCATCACAAGTGCAAGGTCCTTAGTTTGATCCTCGGATACTAGAAAAAAAAAAAATGGGATGTTTTTATTACAGTAGTAGCATGTAGGGCTGGGAATCAGACCAGCACCTTCCACATACCAGCCACACACACTACTGCTGCTCTGTACCCTGTCAGTTCATCCAATTCTGAGCACCTTAGTTACCTGTTTTATGATTAATTACAAGAGGAATGTCACTCCTGATTAATTAACTAACCTGTGAAGCCTAGGGTTGTGCAAGAGGGATTGCTTTTCCTGCCCTGGAGATGGACCCCAGCCCCGGTAGGGCATACATTTTGTATACTTCATTAACTTCTTTAGTTTTGGTTTTTGAGGTAGGGTCTTGCTATGTAGTTCAGGCTGGCCTTGAACTTTTGGGTGATCCTCCTGCCTCAGCCTCCCAAGTACTGGGATTCTAGGCATGCGCCACTACACTTGGCTTATTACATTTGACTTCTGGGCCAGGCCTGATTTCTTTCAAGTACTAAAACCAGTCCATCTGTGAGATCATCTTCAAGCTATGTCCTACCTTCCACAGAAACACCGTGTTGCTTAACTTGTGAGAATACCCAAAAACAGTCGCCCGTGACTCAGTGAGCGGTTGGCTGGTCCCAGTTCCTCCCACGTTAGCCCTCAGGCATGGAGAGGCTAAGAAGGGAGCAAGGACCAGAGGAGCTGGGCGGGCGGCTGGGCAGGGGCTCTCTCTCGGGACCCTCTCTTGGGTGGGGGTCCAACCAGGACGGCCTTGGAGCCCCACCCCGGCCGAAGCTGCACTCTGGGCTCATGCTGTCTCTTGCCCTCTCTCCTTTCTGCTCGCAGCGGGAACGTCATCATAGAAACAAAGTTTTTTGACGACGACCTTCTCGTAAGCACATCCAGAGTGAGACTTTTCTACATTTGAGTGAAGAATTTGTGTGCACTTCATGAATTTGGGGCTTGGAGGGAGGAGGAAACTTTTGTTTTTCCTCCGCGTTTGAGTTTTGACCCCTCGGCCCGACTCCCCGACGCAGACGCCCCACACCGGGGGCGCCCTGCACAGGTAACCAGGCTCTTTCTCCCCAGCTGCCACCTCCCACTGCCTGGGCCTCTCTGGCCCACACGGACTCTGTCCTGGCGCGAGCAGGGAAACGGCCGCTGTCCGCCGCCACCGCGCCTGTCACCTGCTGCCGCCACCTTGGCCGGAGGCTCCCTTTGGCCCTGGGTTTTGAAAAACTTCACATTTCTGCCCCACGTTTAACTTTTTCCTACCATTTCTATTTCATACATCTCATACATTTAACTTGTAAAATAGACTGATACTATTATTTCATAATGTAATTAAAACATGAATTAAAAGATTCCTACGTCTTTAGCATGGTATGGCTTCCATCCTCCTTCCTCTGGCGCCTGAACCTGGCCTGGCCCTGGAAATGAAGATGCTTCTCCATTCGAGGAGCTGGGCTGTGGTTACTCGGGCGGCCGACCCATCCTCCTATCCCTGAGCAGCCCCCAGCTGCTGCTCCCAGAGTGTCCTCTCGAGCGGAGCGCAGGATGGGGAGTGTCCCGCCGGAGGCTGGAAGGGGCGTGGCAGCAGCGCTTCCAGGTCTGAAGCAAGGGAGAAAGCCAGGACCTCCTCTGAGTGCCATAGGCTCTGTGACCCCTTATCGATACCAACCATTAAGTTTCCTGAGAACTGGGCGCAGTGGCACTCAGGAGGCTGAAGCAGGAAGATCTTGGGCAGGAGGCCAGCCTGTACTGCGTAGCGAGTCCCTGTCTCCAAAAAGAAGTCTTCTGGTAACCAGACTAGCAGCTGTGAGGCTGAGGACAAGTTGTTCCCCTGGAGAGGCAGGTCTGTCTACCATGCTCCCGGCCCCTGAGTTCCTACTGTCCATCCAGTACCCAGCTTCGAGTGTGAAAAGTCCTGTGTGTCTGTGTTCCGGTACTTGCACCATCTTTCCATGATGATTCTGTTCCTTGAGTTCCATCACTGTCTTCACAAGCTTTTTGTTTGTTTGTTTGTTTGTTTGTTTGAGACAGAGTCTCACTGTATCATCCAGGCTGACCCTGTACCACTGTGTATCCCAGGCTGACTTCGAACTCGCAATCCTCCTGCCTCAGCCTCCCCTGTGCCAGGGTTACAGGCATGCACCACGACGCCTGGCTTCAAAAGTGATGTCTTGCCAGGAAGGATGGCATGTACTTGTAATCCCAGCATACTAAGGAGACTGAGGCTGGAGAATCACTGTGAATTCAAGACCAGCCTGAACTACACAGTGAGACCCTATCTCCAAGAAGCAAAAATGCTGGTCAGATGATCCCAAGAGTGAAGACATAATGAGCTGTAGTTTTGGCAGGTGGATGTAGTCTGCAGCCCAGTGGCTTCTACCACAGCTGTGATGAACCCAGGGAGGCCTGGACTGCTGGATGGTCTTGGCTCGCATACCTTTCCGAGGGACCCCGAGGCACCGATGCTCACGCAGATGTTCCATGGGCTTCCTTAACTTTCAGAGGAAACAGCAATGATGAACATCGTTCAAACAGCTAGCAGCTCGAAGGGCCGGGGATTTAGCTCAGTGGTGCCGCTGCCTGCCTTGCATGCCCAAGGCCCCGAGTTGGATCCCCAGTACCAAAGAAAAACAAAGAACAGCTAGTTTGAGAGGCCAAGTTCCACCGTGGGTTGCACTTTGAAGTATCTTGGGGAAATCAGGATCTCAGAAGTCTCGGCAATGCAAAGTGAGCGCCCAGAGAGAGTCCATATGCAGGAGAAGCAAGGGGGTGTCCACCTGACATCCAACGCCGGGTCCAGCACTCACGACTGCATACGGTTGCCACTCATGGGGCTTAAAAATGAACCGAGCTAGGGTAAAATACCTAAGGAGCTTTTCTGACCTGCTTTTTTTTGGGGGGGCGGGGGTTGAGACAGGGTCTTACTATGTACTTGAGACTGACCTGGAACTCACTATGTAGCCCAGGCTGGTCTGGAACTCACAGGGATCCTCCTGCCTCAGGCTCCGAGTGCTGGGATCATAGGGGTGCGCCACCACTCCTGGCCCTTCTGACCTACTTATTTAAAAGAGAAGAGTGTTTTGCTGGCCTGGGTGCACTATAAAAATTTCCTGAGACACTAGGGCTATGGTGAACACAGAAAGCCAGGGCCTCCGGTGGATGTCAGTCAGAGACAGGCATCACCACCCACAGCAGGAGCGCCGCAGGGCACCCACTTCCGGCCTGCACAGCAGCCAGCTGCTGTCACCATGGTATTCCTGCACTAGCGCAAGGAGATGCAGGCAAAGGGCAAGGCGACTCCTGCAGTCCGCCTTGGCTCTGTAAGTGTCGTAAGGGGCTTACTCAAGCTGTCCCCCAAGCAGCTCCGCTCCAACACCGGATGATGAGCCCAGTCATTGTCACTGAGCGTCTAACGTAGATTATAATTAACCGGTTTTGGCTAAGTTATGTGCCTCAGAGATTACACAGTGCTCTCTGAACATTGTATGGGACACAGGCCACCCTTGTGTAATCAAGCTGTGGATGATTAGTCCACCTACTTACAGAATTTAAGGTTGCCTTTTACGGCTTCACGTTCATACAACATGGAGTGTGCTCTTCTCTTTCTCAGTACTGGATAATGAACACAGGGCACTTGTACTGGGCTGCATCCCCAGCTTTTTTTTTTTTTTTTTTTTTTTTTTTTGAGACAGGGTCTCACTATGTAGTTGAGACTGACCTGGAACTCACTGTGTAGCCCAAGCTGGTCTCGAACTCACAGTGATCCTCCTGCCTCAGCCTCCCGAGTGCTGGGATCACAGGCATGCACCACCACACCCAGCCCTAGCCATTCTTTATTATTTTTTATTTTGAGACAGGGTCTTGCTATACCACTAAGTCACTTAGTTTGTGAACTTGGAATCTGCCTGCCTCAGCTTCCCAAAGAGCTGAGATTACAGGCATGGACCACCATGCCCGGCTCATTTCTTCCCATTTATAGTGCATTTTTGGCCAGGCATGTTATATAAGTGGAGTCTACTCCTTGATTAAGCTTAGAATCTTAATAACCTAGCCAGGTGTGGTGGCACACAACTGCAATCCCAGCACTCAGGCAGCTGAGGCAGGAGGGTCACTATGAGTTTGAGACCAGCCGGGGTTACATAGTGAGTTCAAGGCCTGACTGAACTACATACCAAGACCCTGTCTTTAAAAAAAAAAATTCACCAGGGATTTAGCTCAGCGGTTCGGTGGCCTGCCTTGCAAGCGCCAGGACGCAAGTTCGATCCCTGGTACCAAACAGAAAAAACTGAAAAGAAATAAGAAGGCCAGGAATATAACTCAGTCGCCCAGCACCTGCTTGGCAAGTGCAAGGCCCTGACTTCAATTCCCAGTACAAAAAAAAAAAAAGAATCCAGATTTCTCCCACCAGATGTCTACCGATGGAGTAGGTGGTGCCTGGGTATTGAACCAAGTTCGAACCACGCTGGATATGTTCTCTACCACTGAGCTACTGCCCCAGCTCACTACCGACCTTGATTGGCTTGTACTCAGCAACAGTCTCCAGTTTGTTCGATAAAACTAGGTCAAGGTTATAGCCAGTTTTTCTAGGACGACTCCAAGAAAACAACGGTACACTTACTTGAGAGCACACATTTTGCTGGACCCAGCGGTACAAATCTGTACTCCCAGCTACTGCAGGATGAGGCAGAAGGATTGCTTGAGCCCAGGAATCCATCCGGGCAACATAGTGTGACCACCTCCACCCTCTCAAAAATAAAAAAGATGCCGGGGGAGGTGGTGCACGCCTGTTATCCCAACCACTTGAGAAGCTGTGCAGAAGGATCGCCATGAGTTCGTGGCCAGCCTAGGCTACATAGTGAGACCCTGTCTCAAAAATATATATATTTTATATTGAAGCAATTTTATGCCTATAGTAATCTTCAAACACTGTGGACTACGATTGTCATGTGGCACTGAATTCTACAGCCATGGCATTCTTGGAGGACAAATACATTCTCTGCCCCAGAGCACCTCCGTGGTCTCCTCCAGGAACCCCACCAGGAACCTACCACAACTGGCTAACCACTGAAGAGTTTGTTTCTTTCCTTAGCACTGGGGATGGAACCCAGCGGTGTTGCACTACTGAGACACATCCCCAGCCTTTAGTTTTCACTTCGAGCCAGGGTCTCACCACGTGCTCCAAGTGGGATTTGAATTTGAAATCCTCCTGCCTCAGCCTCCCCAATCCTGGGATTACAGGCATGTGCCGCTGGGCTGGGCTTCTAACCACTGAAATGTTGTCTCCCTTTGTGGCTTTGGTAGGCCCTGAGCAGCCCCCGTCAGTCGCCCACCGGGTCCCCTCCGTCTCCTCTTCCACATCCCCCACTCCTCTCTCCGGACCATGGTCTCAGTGTTTGTGTCTCCCAAATTCGCATTGAAACTCTATCCCCCAAGGTGACAGTGTCAGGATGCTGGGTCTGGGGGCCGAGAACCTCCTGTGCTGTCACTTGTCAGGACATGGCAAGGACAGCGAGGAGCTGTCCCTGGAGCCCCCAGGGCCAGAGCTGTGGAAATAAACCTCTCAAAGCCACGCCGTGAAAGTGATGGACACAGTTTTTATCTCACCTTCCCCGTCCTCTTCGCCAAGTGGTCCCCTAGCTCCAGAAGCGACTGGAACTTACCCAGCCCCGTCTGTCCAGTGCCACACGCTGAGAGGAAACTGAACGGTGGTCACGCTTCACAGCAGCTGTGACACCGACAGACACCCAGTGTTTTGTTTTGCTTTTCATAGAGCACTTTGAAATTGAAAGACGCCAAATGGTCATGTGGATTGCTCTCCTGCCTTGTTTCTTTCTTTGCTTGTTGTTTACTTCCTTCTTTCCCTCCTTTATTTTGAGGCGGGCACCGGGGATCAAACTCAGGACCTTGCGCTTGCGAGGCAGGCGGCAGAACCACTGA